CAGAAAATTACAAGTTCCAGGGCAGAGGATGTAGGCAAGAAGGCAATACAAAATGAATCTACTGCTGCTGCTGCTAAGTCGCTTCAGTCATGTCCGACCCTGTGCGACCCCTTAGACGGCAGCCCACCAGGCTCCACCGTCCCTGGGATTCTTCAGGCAAGAATACTGGAGTGGGCTGCCGTTTCCTTCTCCAAATGAATCTACTAGTTAAGATCAAATGCATATCCAACTATCTAGTGTACAACTCAGTTTGAAAAATCCACTCATCTTTCTTAACACTTGGTCTTCCATCTGTATCCCAGTTAATTAAATCACTATCAATATAGTTTCCCAAGTTAGAAATCTGGGAGTCATCATTGGCCTATCCTTATTCATCCCACTCTCATGGACAACCAGTCCCTGCACTTGTGGATTCCATCTCTTTGATCATTTTCTAATTAATCCTCTTAGTTTAGCCTCACCTCATCATTTGCCCATCTTGGTGTAACAGTGTCCCTAACTGATTTTCTTGCTGCCGGGTTGGCTCCCATCCAGGCTGTACTCTATAAAGCTCTCAGACTGACTGTTGTAAATGCTAATCACTTGCTGCTTAACATTCCCATTGTTTTCAGGAAGAGTCTGGATCCTCAGCTTGGCACCAGAGTCTTCACAACAGGAGCCCTGCATGTCTCTTATCTTCTGCCACACCTCGACAGCCCTTCATGCCAGTGTATGGACTGATCATGCTGCTCATTACATGACTCTGAATATTTAGGTCCCTCTGCCTGGAATCCTGGGTCCTTCTGCCTGTTCTGCTCTGACATCCCAGAACTAACATTTTCCCGATGCATTTACTGAGTCCCGATGGTTGAGTAATTTGAAACTTATAAAAAAGCAGATCTTGAGGTAATATAAATTCATTCTTTGAATTCTAAATGCTCTGACATCTAAACTGTGCCTAAAGTTGCCCACCTAACAAAGTATATACGCATACTATTCTTTAAAAGGAGATACTGAATACATGCTCATTAAGTATCTTAAAAAGTCACGGTCTGGAAAAAAGTACATCCGGTGGTGTTTTTGGAGCTTCTAAAAACTTCTAGATGTAAAGAACGAGGTGGTAAGAACAAACTGAGACAGAGGCAAAGGATTTTAAATGGGAAGAGGACAAAAGAATGAGTGCAGTCATTTCGACTTGCTCTTAGTGCTGCAGTAGGTGCCTTCCAACTACAGGGCAGGGTCCAGGACCATACCTCATGCTACAGCGTAACTCCTGGCGCTGAACAAAGGATGAGCCTGTGACCCCATGGTCTTTGAGTGACATAAGGGAACACAGTAAAGAGTATGGCCATGAAAACTGAGAAATCCACTTAGGTTATTCATCCTAGCCCTTCTTTCTACACATATTTCCTACACAAATATAATTTAAAACATACAAATGTTTTAAATACAGTATCCGTTATACAGTTTTTTTCTTTTCAATTTGCAAATAAAATAAGGAGAAAAATACTTTTAAAATGTTGAGAACAACATAGCAATGTTTAAACACTTAAAATACAAAATTAAGTGAAATAGAGAAGCAAATGTCCACTGTAACTATGTAAAAAACATATGCACATGAGCAAGGATTGACACAGAACAGAACAATGAACTATTGATATGTCAACCTTAGCACTGCTGTCAGACTCAGCCAGCCATTCAGGGCTGGCTAACTCTTTCTTGTGGGGAAATTCTTTCTTGTTCTGTGGACAGAAGAATGGAGAGCAGAATCTCTGGCTTCTACTAACTAGATGCCAGTTATATACCACCAGTTGTGACAACTAAAAATGTCTCCATCCATTGCCATATGTTTCTTAGGGAGCAAAATCCTCCCCTCCGCTGCCCCATCCAAGGTTTAGTAGCACTAGGCTAGGGGTAAGAGGAAAGTTTTTTGAATTTTATGTTAATATTGCCATAATGATGTTTGTTTAGTAAATATATACTGGAAAGGGAAAAGAAAACCCCTTAACATATAGCATCTAACAGTGCTTATTACCAAGAGTTAAAATTTATTCAGCTCTCATTTAATATGAAAAGTTTTAAAAAGCCACAGAACTCATTTTTCTTCTCCAATCTATTACAGAAGAGAAAGCTGAATTTCTGAGTATGTGGACACTTGACTTGGCTTTGAGCATGACTATCACAAATAACTGATGAAATTAGTTTGAGAAATAAAAATATCTAAAGCATTCTATCCCCACAAATACCCATTTAAAATGTACACTTTGCATATCTTCAAAATAACTTTATATATATAAAATAGTAAAACTTAACAAGAAACACATACTTTAAGACAAATTAAAGTTTTCCAAGCTCAATTACAATTGCACTGGATCTAAAGAAATCATATTCTACTTTTACAGCCTCTTTTCCAATCTTTTGAGGACTTTTAAGCCTGCCCCCTTGCCAAAAATATTTATTTTCAATCATTCCTCCTGTTTTTGTTTCTTATCTTATATCACAAGGAATGTTTTCTGATTAAGAACTATCATGAAGAGCAGGCACAAGAATTGTTCCAAGCATCTCCTTTCCTGAAAATTCTATCCTGTCATGGTGTTGAGTTCATACAGACTTGAAGTTGTAGGATGATCATTCTGAATGATCTTTTCACATACGTGAACGCGTCACTAAAATGAATGCCTAAAACAGTATACACTTAAGGAGAAACATCTTCTTTCTTTAAATAAAACTGAGATAAGTCCAAAAATACATTTGGATTTTTTTCTCCTCCATTTTCAAAACACACTAGACTTGTAGAAATTTACTGTTTGTATTTACCAATGTATGCTTTTCCATTTTCGTCTCGAGTTTACTCAAGACAGAAAGCTTGCCGTAGTACAGAGACACAAAGAAAATCTTCCAAATGATTCCAGGGCTGGAGAATGTGAAATGCTTAGTTACCCAAAGCATTGTAGCAGGAAAGAAGGAGGGGGTGTAGAGACAACAGAGGTGATGGAGACGAATGAACATTCAGGAATGTGCAGTGTGGACAAGAAGGGGTGAGAATGGCTGTACAATGATCAGGATGAGAAAAATGACGCTCGGGGTAATGAGAGAAGTGGATGAGGTTGTAGCTTGAAAGGCAGAAGGTAACTGACTTGATGACGTCTGATGTTGAGGATACAAAGGGCCTCCAGAGCTTCATCAGGAATTAAAGTTCTGCATGATGAACAAACGGCAAAAGGGAGGAAACAGCAGCTCTTTGTTCACAGGCCGACGCGCAGAGGATGCCGTAGCTCGGTGGACTTTGTCCTGGCCCCTACCTTCACGCGCAGTCTCTGAGTAGGGGTGACTCTTCGCCTGGAAAGTGAGCAAAGGAACGCCTACTTAAACAGATTGAGTATTCTAAACTCTCTTTAAAGAAAAGCAGCAGCCTAATTCTAATGGCCTGCGAAGGGTGGGGCCCGGGAAACCGACCAATCTATTCTCAGGCCAAATCCCTCCAACCCGCGGCTAGAAAGGCCAAGCCAGGTGAGGCTCTTCTCCTGTCGTTTTGGGCCCTGCCGGGAAAGGCCTGGAATGCTGAAAAAGAGCGAAGAATAGCTGCTTTCTTCCTTGGGGCTGCGGCGGGAACCTCAGGAACCAAGCCGTAAATTGTCTCTTGGAAAGCGCCGTGAGGGTTCGGGGCCGCCAGGGTGCGAGCGGCAGGTGCCCGCTCAGTCTCGGGCGTCATAGCAACCGCGCTCGCCGCGGAGACGCCTGGCCTTCCGGCGGCAACCATAGAAACGAGGCGCGCCATTGGCTCAGGAGCTGCGCTTCCTGCCGGAGATCATTGCTACGGCGCAGACCATTGGCCTCTGGGTTAGCCCCGCGGTAACGAAGGCACGGCTCTTCCCAAAGGCTCTGCAGTAACCATGGTAACGTCGTGGCGCCTATTTGCAACTCGAGTTCTGTCACAGGGCATTAATAGTTCTCAGCTTCCTGCCAAACTTTATCTAGAGCCCAAGTCTAAAAAACTTGGATTAAATTTTCTAGAAGAAATTTCATTCTTAAAAGGGGGGCGGGGGGAGCTAGGTCAGGGTTCTGAATTTTAGGTCAGGACTCGTCATTCATTACCTGGGTGGGGCACCTAAGACAAATCACAACACTTTTGGAACCCGCTTGTTATTGTAAAAATGACGAAACCGAACCTGACTACAACTATTCCTAAAGTCCTTTAGAAGTCCTAAGCACTGAAAATCCGGTTTTCGCGAACCGTATTCTCTACCTATGTAAGGCAAAATAAAAATATCTAAAAGACACAACATTTAACAAAGGACCGGTTTATATGCTCTTCATTTAAACGCTCTTAGTGCAAGATTCTAGTTTACCTAAACTTGATTTTACTCATGTTTGGGGGCCCATGCTTTTCTGGTATCCCGAACATACACTTAACATTTCTTAACCTTATTCTAGTTTCTCACAGGCTCCTTTCCAAAGCTTTGCCAGTTCTACATGCATTATCTGGACAGATCTTATCCCTTAGACTTTCTAAGCTCTCCCTCTGGCACCAGGGCCCTTTCAAGTGTTTTTTTCCCCTCTGATCTAAAATGCTCACCACCATCTCCCCCAGCCCACTTTTAACAGTTCAAGCGTCATTTTCTCCTCAGGGATACATTGTTTAGTCCTCCAATTTAGATTCAGGATCCTTCTTATTTGCTCTTATTGACTTATGTTCCTTTTTATTCTTAGTTTTTTGTTTTGGGCTGTGCCCTAGCTTGGGACTGAACCTGGGCCATAGCAGTGAAAGCACCAAATCGTAACCACTGAACCACCAGGGAACTCCCTCATTCTTAGTTTTCTTCCTTTCTTCACACATTTCCATTTGCTGACTAAAAAAACCACCTCTTGGAATTTTTACATGCTCTGAATGCAAATGATCCTGAACTGGAAAACATGCTAAACAATCCAACTTAGGGTAATGGAGGTTGTTTTTAAGCATTAACAAAATAGAAAATGGTTCCCAAGGGGAGTAATGATATTAATAAAAACAAACATTATAATCACTTTTAGTTCTAGCTCCATTTATTCTCATTATACATTCAAAGATAATGACAGCCATCATCCACATGAACCTACAGATGTAGAGGAGGGAAGAAGTCAATCTTTTACTTCATGCTCCTTTAGTATTGCAGTCACTGTCTACAGTATGTTGTTTTTTAGATTTTGCTATTTGGATCAGAAATTAATTTAAGATTTTTGTTCAATGGGATTGCTGCTTCCAGAGAAGTCCTGATTGCTGCAGTTACTTCTCCTGTTTCCTGATTTAATGAAGTCACATTTCCTGATCTGATGACATATTTAGGTGTATCTTGGCACTTATGTGCACATCTCAAAGTTTATTATACTTCTATTATCAGACAGATACATTGGACTACTCTTCCCAACACACTCCATGAATTGCATTTTAACTCATTTATGTCAAGTACTTTTTTATACCTAGTTCTTAATGACAGTTTTTCACACTGCATTCTGGACCATCCTATGGATCACTGAGGGTACTTCTCTGGTCTACTTATTTTGCACTCCCAACCCAAAGCTCAGGACAGTGAGAGCTTTGAAAACTTCTCAAGGATTCAGGAATCAAGCAGGGCACCAGCAGTAACACTGCCTTGCTAAGTGAGAAAATTAGCAATTGCAACCATTTACTGTGCAAATTATGTGTCAAATGCCAGGCTCATGCTTTACCGGCACCATTTTATTTATTTAATCCCCACAACAAATGGTGTTACTTTGCAGAAAAATTACCACCTTTTTATAGATGAGGAAACTTCAGATTAAGTCAGGTATCTAAGTTTACAAAGTGAATAGGTGGCACAGCTGGAAGGGTGAAATGGCTAAGACAACTCCAAAACCCATACTCTTTATCTCCTTCACGTCAGTGGTCACCAGCTGTGTCCCGCCTGGCCTCCAGCTTAACTTTCCCACAAGAGCAGTTATAAAATATTTCAAAGGTAAATTCTTAACTCAAATATGAAGTGAGTCTAGAACAAGAAGCAAGAAGTAAATGTAGTGGGATAATCATCAATCTACAGCTAATCTATCTTTGGGGAGGTGTCCTTCTCTCCTACACCCGTTTTTACTAAATTTCCAAAAAACAACATCATTTATTGATTTTGGGGCACATACTTTATTGTACTTAATTTTTACATACCCATTTCCCAAACTAGACATGTTTATTCATCTTTTTGAGCTAACTCTGGAAGATAGTGAAGAACAGGGGAGCCTGGCATGCTGTAGTCCATGGGGTCACAGAGCTGGACACGACTTAGCGACTGAACAACAATTCACCTTCGAATCTTCAAAATCCTCAGGGCCTACCACATAGTAAGTATCAACAAAATAAGCATGGCCATTCAGGCATCCATCATCCTTTTTATAGTGTGAAGAAGGCTGATATTCAGGCCCCACAAGTATATTTTGAGGAATATGATACCCAATAAGCTTTTTTTTTTTTTTAAGCTGAGAAACAGCTAGTCATTCTCAAAATCAAGATAACATTCAGGTGAGTTTGTCAGGTGGTTCGGTCGTAACAGATTTGCCTTTGCTTTCATTTTTTGAGTACTGAAAGGTTTTTAAAAGACAGATGCCGAGCCACATTAGTCTGCCCACCACTCACTGCTTTTCCCCTTCATTTTCTGTCTTTATGAAAGCAAAGGATTTATTCTACTTCTCGCCACCTATGAGGGCCCTGGTCCACTGAACAATTTTTGATCCTATAAATAAAGGCTTTTTACCTCAGTTTTTGTCATGTATAAAAGCAGTATGTCGAGACTGAAGATCATCCACTATCTTCTCTTCTATCTCTATGCCTTTTTCTACTTCTTCCTCTGATAACAGTAACTTGGTCTCTGAGTCTTTGGTTATAATAACCACAGAAGATCGTCGTGAATCAAGGATATTAGCCACCACCACTTGATGTCGATAAACTTCTAAAGCATTCCGTGCACGATCAATTATGATGGAGGGGTCAGTCTCCAACTTAAAGGAAATTATAAATGCTTTGGGAGCCCAGTCTTTAACCAAAGGAGAAAGCATTTTTGGCACCATCTTCATTGTTATCTGTATTGGAAAAAGAGAATCTTATTAAGCAAACAAGGTTACTACCTACCAGCCAGGTCAATCTCAAAGGAAATTAAGGAAGCAGGGACTCAGATGCTTGGCTATGTCAATTTCAGTAGGCTTTCTCACTACCAAACTTTTTAAAGCGTATTAAATGCTTACTTAAAAGTCCTGCCTTTGTAGGGTTCATAAGGATGCCTGATTTCAAAGCTTCATGCATATTCTGGGGCAAACCACATCTTATGAATTAGCCCTGCCTTGCAACCCTCATTACCAAAAATAAAACTGAAAAAATAGCATTACATTTTCTCAAACAGTCCCTTTATATTTTTTAAACCAAACCCTCAAATAAACAAATACAAATAATCTGTTTATACAAATGTTACTCTGGCAGAAGCTCAAGGTTGAGTTTTTAAGTCTCTCAGTCTAAAATATTTCTTCCACTGGTGGACTGGCTATTTGATTCCATTAAAAAACTGTCATTAAAAAAAAAAAACTGTCATTTGTAACATCTTAGCACTGAGGAAACAGAACAGATTTTATTTTTATTCATCAACACCACAATATCATTCTCAATCCCTTTTAAGGGGAATGTAGAGTTGTTTTGTGTACTTTCAAGTACAAGACAGAACTAAGAATTACAGGATAAAGTAAGGTTCCCAGAATTTAAAAAGTGTGAAATCACTAAGCTAATCATCAGAATTTTCCCTCAAAGAGTTAGCAAGAGTGACAGGGATCACATACCCATTCCCCATTTTACTTTTCTCCTTAGAATTTATCACTACCTAATATAGTATACATTTGACTTACTTTTTGCCTCTGCAGAGAAAAAGCAAAACCAGGGCACAATATGTTTCTTTTCATTGCCTTATCTCCTACAATAGTGCCTGGCATATAGTAGGTACTCAATAAACATTTGTTGAAGAAATGAAAAAATGAACTGTCCCACAGAATCAGCAAGTGCTCCACAGGTAGTTTCTCCTATTTAAATCCTACTTGTATCACCCAATAAAAGACTAAGAATTCCCTCAGGTTCCAAGAAGCCAGATGATTTCAGCATCTTCACCACACCACTACCCTCCCCATACCTTCTCCTTAAACTGCAACAATAACCACCATCTAATCTGCACCCACCACTCTCTCTAATTCACCTTTCACAATGATGCCAGAATGTTTTTCACAAACAAAAACTTTATCTCATTCTCTTAGGTTTCCCTTGGCTCCAAAGGATTAAGTTCAAGCTCCTTAAAAAGGAACACAAAATTTTCTATGAAGGAAGCTGTCCCTTCAGTCTGCCCTCCACCCTCACCACTCTCCAGCTTTACCCGACGATGTCAGTTCACAACACAATGCTCACTTTTAAGCTCCAACTGTGTTCTCTATCTGCAATGATCTTCCCTTGGTCTGGTACACCTTCTGCTCATCTTTTAAAACCCAGTTCAAGCCATTTCCTCCAGAAAGCCTTGACTTTCCCCAAGATTCACTCGCCCCATGCTCTGACTTCACTTTGTACGTACCTCTACTAGAGCATTTATCACTCTGTACTGTAATTATGTCTGTGTCCAGCAACCTCAACAGATTGTGAGATTCTTGAGGGAGGGCGGTGTCTTATTCATCTCTGTATCCCTAGTGCCTAGCACATACGGAATGCAGAAAGGCCATCTCCAGATCAAAAGGAAATTAACCCAAGATTGGTTATAGGAAATCAGATCTCTGGAAGAGAAGCGCCCATCACCTGCAGTGGGCCCCCAGATGACTGGATCTTGTGTTCAGGCATTTCAGAGGCAGGAACATAGAAATCTGACACGGCCGCAGCCAGGTAAAACATCGCAGAAGAACCTGAAAAAAGAAGCACAGAGTGTAATAAATCAGAGAAGTGTATGGAGTCAGCTCCTTTTCAACTCAGGTTCCTCCGCTGTGAGAGCCCTGGGTATATAGTAAGGGGCTATGTGTCTAGGGGTAAAGGCTCTGCCTCCTGACATCCGATCAACTCCTAAAGGCACGCACCTAGTGGGTTGAGAGCCTGGGCTGCAGCCTGCAGCAAATGCAAATAGTCTGCCAAAGTGGTGAACTCTATGGCTAGAAAAGTGCCGGCAGCCTCAGCCTCCTGGTAACTCTGCAGAGCTGCGGCGAAGCCCGGGAGTGCTTTTTCTTCGGCCTCCAGGCTCAGCAAGCCCGAAGGCGCTTGGCCGGAGGGCCGCAGAACAGACAGCCAGGTCTGGGGCGGGAAGCGGTGGGCAAAGGGGAAGGCAGAGCGCGCGCGGTACAGGAACAAGACCCCGTAGCCCGCGGCCAAGAAGGCTTCGGCCGAGCCAGCACCGCGCCGCCCACTGCTGAAGTTGTCCAGGAAGCGCACAGGCCGGGCTTCCAGAGGGACCTTCGTGCCGCCAGAAGTGACCAACACCACCCGTCGGCCCTGCGCGCCCAACCGGGCGGCGAAGCGAGCCATAACCTCTGCCCAGCGCGCAGCACCGGCGGGCTGGGGAAACTCGGCAACCAGGTCCACGGCCGCCATCAGTCCCGAAGCGCCCCCGCGTCTGCGCAAACTCTAGGTCCTTCGGCGCCACGCCCCCTGTCGCCTTACCTGGCCTGCGCGCAGCCGCAGTAGTCACTGGGCGGTTGGCTACGGTGCGCTGGATGTCAGCGCAGGGTTTCCGCTTGTCTGGAAATACGAGTTGGTTCCGCCCTGCACCCTGCGAGTCTGACACTTGAGTTCTCGGCTGAGAGGCACACTCCCTTGTTTAGTTTCCTAGCCTGAGTGACGGTACGGCCGTGTTTGATCCTTATCGGCCACCGTACAGACCCTGCTAGACTCGGACCCCGTCTAAAAATTTGATTGCCCGGCTGTTTAACCTTTGGATTCGGAGCGGTGCGGGATGGGGAGGGGTGGAGGAGTGGCTTGGGTTTTATTTTTGTCCTTCATTTTTAAAAAAAAACCTACAAACGCACTCCCAAGTTGTCAGTCGAGCCACACGTCCTTCCCCTCGAAAGGCCGGGGATGAGGCGGCGCCGTGTCGGTCACGTGACACCACTGTCCGGTGTGTCCTGGCCGGGCAACCGTCCTAGAAACTGACAACACCGTCTGCCGCGGCATGAACGTGATCTACCCTCTGGCGGTGCCCAAGGGGCGCCGGCTGTGCTGTGAGGTGTGCGAAGCCCCGGCCGAGCGGGTGTGCGGGGCCTGCACAGTCACTTATTACTGGTAGGCCCTGAAACGGGGCCCCTGGGCGCCTCAATCGTCTCCCTCTCAGCCAGGGAACCCTCTAGGTTCTAGAGTCTAGGAGGCTTCAAGACAGGTCCCTAAGACATCAGTGTCTGCGTTTGCTTCCTCTTCCACTCGCTCGTTCGTCACCAGATGTTTTGTGGAGCGCCTGCTGTGCGCCTTGCACTGTTCTAGGTGCTGAAGTTATTGGGGAGAAACTTGGGAGACCACGTCTCCCAAAAAGTAATATTGTCATGAGAAAGCTAGATAAATAAACCAACAGACCAAACAAAATAATTCCAGAGAGTAGTCCAGTATTCTTGCCTAGGAAATTCTACGGAGAGAGGAGCCTGGCGAGCTACAGTCCATGTGGTCAACAACAACAAAATGCCTTAAAGACAAAGAAAATGTGATGGGAGGTTGGGCAGACAGCCTCTCTGAGGGTAGACTATGGATATATGATTGAATAGGAACAGCCCGCCGGAGAAACGCTGGGGGAACAGTGGCGCAGTGAGGCTCCGAGGGAGGGAAGACCTTGCTGTGTTTGAAGAACAGATAGAAAACTAGTTTGTCGGTGCACAGCCAAGATCGCGACGGTATGGGAAGGGTATGGTATTAGTTTTCATTTACTTCAGCATAACATCCCCTGACCTTTGCTTCAGATCGGACCCTATTTGGGGCCTGAGAAAAGACAGTGAGGTTGCTGACGTTCAGAAACCTAGTCCAGAGCAGGCTAACCTGTGTTTAAAAGTAAGTTATAACACAACCGTATATGACAAGTGCTGTCACTCAGGGAGTACTGTTCCCTGGGACCTCTAATATGGAAGCATGATGACTGGGGTGGTATCTGCAAAGGCTCCTCTGAAGAAGTAATATTTGGGCAAAGTCTTGAAAGATCAGAAGGAAGTTGCTAGGTGAATGAGAAATGGAGAAGGAAAGGCAAGGCACTTCTTGCATCCAGGACTGCTTTGGTAAACAGTGAGAGGACAGACTTTGTCCGAGGTGGGTTGAGAAGGTAATGGTGGAGAGAGCAGTTACGACTGTAAGCTTGCTGTCCAGGCCCCATTGGCAGGTCATGAATAAATCACAACCAGCATTTTAAGGGGAAGGAAAACCTATCAAGTAACAAAGTAATCCTACTTGAATTGTTTCTTTAGACTTGTGTTTTATGTGGATATGTGTTTGTACTAGTGAAATGTATTTCCTACAATAGGTTGATTTTTTAAAAGTTTGAAAATCATTGTGATAGGTAGTAGTAGGAGTTTATACCAAGAAGACAAAAGTTAGGGCCCAACAGTGATATGAGATCAAGGAGTTTGGAATTTATCCTCTGGGGGGCCATGGATGGTTTTCACATGCCCTCATTTGTATTAAGGAAAGATGACAGGTATCAATGCGAAGTTAGGCTGGAGAGTAGACACTAAAGGCTCATAACTTCTCGATTGCAGTGATCCCAGTGGAGAGTGAACATACCTCTTGGACTGAATCCAGTGTCCCTCCTCAGTGCTTTCACAGCACTCGTTATGTCCCCTATCCTCACATTTATGACAGATTGAAATCATTTGTTTAGTGGTCTGTATCCTTCACTAAGCTGTATGCTTCATGAGGGCAAGGGCGGCATCTCTGTTTTCACTGTTGTTTCTTTAATACAATTCAGAATTTGTAGCAGAAACTACAAAGCCCTGGCTCCCTCTCTACTTTCATTTCCCACCATACTCACCCTTCTTTTCCTGGATGCAGTTATAGAGACTTTCTTTCAGTTCTAATTTGCCAACTCCTTTCTCCCTCAGTTTCTTTGCCCAGCCTGTTGCTTCTGTTGGGAATTTTTCTGTACAGTCACAGCTCTTCCTAACTCCCTTTCATCTTTCTCTTCTCAGAAATGTTATTTCTTCAAAGAGGTGTTTCTGCTAAACCCAAGCTAAATTCTATCTCTTTTTCTCTCTCACATTTTTCCTTCACTTTTCCAGTACTTTTATATTTTTGTCTCACTTGTTTAATGTCTTTTTTTTTTTTTTTTTTTTTTGCTGTGTTGGTTTATGGGATCTTAGTTTCCCAACCAGGGTTTGAACCCTTGTACCCTGCGCTGAAAACATGGAGTCTTAACCACTGGACCTCCAGGGAAGTCCTGAGTAAACACTTCTAAGTGCAGGACTGGCATTCTGGAGAGAGATAAGACTTCTTTGCCTGATACAAGCATCTACCTCCTCCTTTGTCCTCTTCATCCCTCAAGCCCAGAAGTAATTCCTCCTTCCTCTCAACTCACTTTGCAGTTACTCTGTAATCTTTCAGATGACTCTTATTTCCCTGACTCATTTTAGTTGTTGGCAAGCCTGTTAGCTCACTTTTATTATGCTCCATTAATACAGGATGCTGTGCCATTAATGCAGAATAGTATTATGTTTAATATGTAGACAGACTGTCATATGTTCTCTTTGATCTGTTTCAGACCCATCTGTGTATACCCTGTGGTCTCCAGCAAAGTATCTTGAAATGGTTGAAACTAAATATTTGATGAATCCATGAATAAATTATTATTTCCTATGCCCTTATCCTCCATTATTTCCTTTCTCTTCCTTCACTCTCTTTAATTATTTTTAAGGTCTTCTCCTCTCCCCCTAACTTTTCTCCAGATATCTATATCCTTGTGTCCTAGAGATATCATGATTTTTCCAGAAAATAAAACTGTGATAGTTGTTCTCTATCTCAAAAATGAGGACCTTTAGTACTCCCTTATATGGTTTTTACGATTGAATGTAAAGCATCTAGCACCATGCCTGAGATCAAGTTGGCAGTCAATAGATACTGTTTTTCCTCACTCGAAATTTAAAGATCAGGAAGGGAAGTCAAATTGAATTTGTGAAAGTTAATTTTTTTGCAAAATAATTTTTTGATTGCAGATGTAATTCCCACTCCAGTGTTCTTGCCTGAAGAATTCCAGGGATGGGGTCGCACAGAATCGGACACGACTGAAGTGACTTAGCGGTAGCAGCAGTAATTCATGCTCAGTGCAGAAAACTTGAAATTACTGAATGCAATATATAATATAATATAAAATATAAACATGAAAAATAATCCATGACCTCACAATCCAGATAATTAATAGCTTCACATTTTGGTGAATTTTTCTTATGTTCTTTTCCTATAAATTCATTTATTTTTTACATTCTGTGTAATCTTGTGCATATCATTCTGCATTGGACTGTGAGAATGTTCCCAGGAAATAGGACGTTTTTAAGAGAAGGCAATTTTATAAAGTACACTGAAACATTACAGGTAAAAGAGACTTTAGTAGTATAGGTTAGTAAGTTGTAGCATAGAGATAAGAGTAATTTGCAATATTTTTTCCTTTCATTTAACAAATGGGGCACAAATAAAAATGCTCTCACTGTATAGGAAGAGAAAACAGCAAGTGGTATTCAATAGTAGGATCTGTGGTGAACTGGAGAATTCAGGCCCTGCCTAACAGTCTTCCACTTCAGTTTAAAAAACATGGTAATGGCCAAACAAAACATGTCTAACCCACAAGCTATTTGCTTGTGATCCCTGATTTGAATGCATACTTTTCCAATCCTTCTTTATGCATGGCCCTGTGACAACTGTTAGGGATGATACAGATGAATAAGCAGAGAGCTCATAAATATATAAAATATGCTGCCTTTCTTTAGAAAGGCAAGATATGCAAATGCACTCAGCGGAACAAAAGTTCAGGCAGTTAAGCAAGTTAATATTTCCATTGCTCACACAATTACTCACTAAGCCCCTATTTAATAAATACCCTGTGGAACTCACCTATTTCTTTATTCTGACTGTTAAGTGCTTTTATTAATTTGTTTACAGTAATTCTCTATCAAAAAACCCTTTAAAATGCTTTTAGTCATTTGTATGTGAGGCATCACAGTTTATAAAGCAAATACTGTATTCATTTCTTTGTCCCAGAAGAAAGAAAGGCAAGAGAGTATTTGAGCGCAGCAATTACTGTCTGTGACTGCTTTTATGCAACAACGAGTTGAGTAGTTGCAACAGAAACCACAGGGCTCTCAAAGCCCAGAATTGACTATCTGGCTCCAAGAAAAGCTTTGCTAATCCCTGCCCTCAGTTATTGTTACCTATTTTGGAGTATGTGTAAATGGAATTAAACAGCCAACTTTCTCATCTTTAAATAAAAGTATATAATAGGCAATAGAAATGCAAATCTCCCCTTTTAATAATGAATAGAACAACTAAACAAAAGATCAGCAAAGAAATGTGGCTTGAACAACAATATAAACCAACTAGACCTAACAGACATTTACAGAATACAGAATATATATTCTT